GATTATTATAAGAATCGAGAACAAATCCGTCATCGACCGGTAATGAACCACGAGAACAAACATCAATTTGACGAGTATACAATTGATTTAACTGATCAATTTCGTTATAAATTGTCTGGGATGAAGCCAAATTTTGTGGTGATAATATTAAATTAGGATGATGATTATTTCCATTAACATTATTATGATTATTGTGAATATTGGATTGAGAAATCTCGCCAGCCTCATAACGTAAAGCAGATCTTCCCACGCTATTGTTACATTGAAAAGTCGGAGGAGACAAGGATGCAGGTGAGCCAGCAAAAGGTGAAAGTAAAGGGGTTGAGACGGTGGAATCGCTTGTCCAAGAACTTAAAGAATCAACAGACGATGATCTATAATGACCAAATATAGCTTTTTTCTGTAAATGCTGTAAATAGATATCTTCATGATCATCAGCAGTAGCAATTCCTTCCAGACCTAAAGAATAAATTGGTTGTTTTTGTTTTACGTCATCTTTATTATTGCTGTTATCATCACCACACATTATTTCATTGTTAAAACCATCAGCAAAAATCATCTTTGAATCTACAACATTCTTTTTACGGCAATTGGTAATAGAAGTAGTGTCATTTGTAGTAGTGGTATTGGTAGTGTTAGAAGAATTATTACTGATGATATTTGTAGTTATGTTATTTATGTTTATGTTTGTATTATATTTACCTATTAAATATTAAATTAATATTTTTTTAGGACATTTCAGCTGGTTTTTTATTATGTTCAACAGATAAACCAGTTAAAACTTCATCTACTTTTGAGGCTCAACTTGCGATCCTTGATCATAAAAATATTATTTGTGCTGGTTACAGTGCTGTATTGCATATTCATTCATGTGTAGAAGAAGTATCAATTTCAGTTAAGAATCAACTTTATATTTATAAATCAGTTGATAATTAAATTAAATATTTTATTATAAATTTGTACAAATACATACGAATTATATGCATTTGCGCTAGTTTTTAATTAATGATTTTTCTTTTTTTCAGTCTCTTTTACATCTTATAGACAAAAAAACTGGTAGAAAATCTAAAAGACCTCCACAATTTGTTAAAAAAGGTCAAAAGGTTATTGCAAAACTTGAAACACAAGGTCCAATTTGTTTAGAGGCATTTTCTGACTATCCACAGTTGGGGAGATTTACAATGCGTGATGAAGGTAAATCAATTAATTAATTAGTGGATTAACTTGTTGTTTAAAATATGATATTAATGTTTCAAACATAAAAAAAAAAAAAATTTACTCTTTAAAGGCAAAACAATTGCAATCGGAAAAGTAACAAAAGTTATTGAAAACGAGTAATTGTAAAAAAAAAAATCATAATTGTTAATGTCTATCTATCTTATCTATAATTTTTTAATATTAATATTAATAATAAA